GCTCACCAGATCCCTGGAATTGTATTTTAAAGCCAAATGAATAGATTCAGAGATCTATTAAGGATGTGACCAACTGTGGCAGTGGCCAGGAGCCATGGAAGGCCAAAACCCAGGAGGACTTCACCCTTTTCAGCTGAGCATTACTTAAGCATTTTTGTATTTTAGTACAGTGTGGCACTACAGTGTGGGTCAGTTTCTTTCAAACTGATGTCATGTAATTCTGATGCCTTCTGCAGTGTTCCCCATGATAACTTAATATAAGAATTGATAGAATGAATTAGGGTTACCTAGAAAAAGAAAACTACTACTAGATTTTTTATTATTTAAAAGTTTTAATTAATAATACAAAATTAAATAATATAAAAAAGGATTCAAAGAAAAATCTTACTCTCACCTCTGACCCTCTCCTCCCATTTCCCCAACCTCCCAACATAAGCATTATTATTGGTTTCTTGAATGTGCTTCCAAAGTTTCTTCATCCCTATACAAGGATATATAAATAGGTAGCCTTAATTTCCCTCTCTTCCTATGCAACGTAGCATACTCAAATAGTATTTCATACTTTGCTCTTCACGTCGTAATGTATCTTGGAGTTCCTTTGATATCAATACATAGAGAAAGCCCATATTCTTTTTTTACAGCAATGTATTATTCCATTGCATGGATCAAACATGATTTATTAACTAGATAGACTTTATGAATGAAATAGAAAATGCTTCCAATAGTTTTTCTGTTTCAAATATTGCTGCAAATATATTTATCAATTAATTAGTGTATTGTAACTTATCTTACATTGTTTTCAGCGTATGTACCATTTTTATATCTTCTGATCTTCCAAGATCATAAAGGAATTTTTTTCATGTGTTCTTCTAATGCTTTTATAGTTTCACTTTTTACAGTTATATTTTTGATTCATTTGGAATCTATTCTATATTTCACTGTATCAGGTATGGGCACAACTTTTTTCTAGAAAGCCATCCAGTTGTCCCAGTACCATTTATAGACTACTTCATGTTTTTTTCTTCTAACCTAAGATAGCTTCTTTACCATATGGCATGTGATTGGGTCTATTCCTGTATTTTTCACCCTGTTTCATTGATTTCTCTGTCTAGTCTTGGGCTGCTACCATAGTGTTTAAATTATTGACGTATTAGGCTATAATTTACCATCTGTTATGGTGAGTCTTACCTCTCTGCTTTTCTTTTTAAAAGTTTTTATTTGTTTGTTTTGCCATGCTAATTTCATATTGAGTTTTTCCAGTAAAAAAAAGGAAGAATAATATTGAGATTTTTATTGACATAATAACACTAAACTTTAAGTTAACATAGGACGAATGTCTATCTTTATAATAATGAGTCTTCTTGATCTAGAATATAATGCATTTTTCTTTTTGGTATTCTTTGATAGTGTTTTAAAGATACCTTTATGTATCCATATTTCTTAAATTTATTCTCTATTACTTTTTCATTTGGTACTATAAATTAGATCTTTTCTACTATTATATTTTCTGAATTTTTTTCATCTATAGATTTTCTCAAATCATAGTACACTTGGTTATTTTCATGAATGATGGGGGAGGAGGGCTAACCTGCAAGTCAGTCACATTTGTCCAAGAGGCAGGCATTTATAATGATGTTTAAGCATGCACATCTGTAAAATCTAATAAGGCTTTTCTTGATAGAAAACAGCACAACCTTAATGGGAAGTCCTTATATAGGAATTGCTTATTGGTGCAATTTCTTTATTTGGCTCCATCAATTCTCAATCATTTCCCACAACCCACATCATTCCAGTAACACTATACTTCCTGTTGTTAAATTTATCCAGCCACTGCAAAATTGACATTTCTCAGAATTCACCTGCATCCAGTAAGGAATGTTTTCATTTAATTTTTAATTTTAATGCTTACTTAATTTAATATCTTCAAGGTATTCCTAGTAGGAGTAAACTGTTGACCCATAATTTAAGGTTCCCTACTCCCTGGCTCCAACCTACTTTTACATCCTTCATGCCCCCAAATTTGACTACTCACTATTTCTTCCACACTCCCATACTTTTCCATCTTCAAATATCTAAACACTCCATTACCATCATATAAAATGCAGTGGGAAGTGAAGTCAGAAGGATTGGAAGCATGAGAAGGACTCTAACCACCATTGCTGGCTTACAGATGGAACCAGGCACCTGAAAAGCCTGAGAAGGAAAAGAGTTTTGCAAACCACCAATGAGTTTGCAAGAAACCCCAGATGAGAGCTGCAGTTTCAGATGATACCTTGATTCTGACTAGATGTTAACATTTGCCTAATATTTGTGGGATATGCAAAATCCAAATCTAAAGAACATCAAGGGGCATTCAGATTGTTATAATGGAATTTAACTCAACTGAGCACATTACTCGAAATCACAGCAAGAATTGGAGATAAAGTGGACACTCACCTTCTCTGAACAGAACTAGCAAGCGAGAAAAATGATGGGCATATGGACAAATACAAAGTAGAAAATACATGGGGTTAATAGTGGAGATAAGAACTTCTAAGTAAGCATGTATTATCTCCTCCAAAGAATGGACAAAATGTGTATGTGAGTGTGTGTGCTTCAGATGGTGTGGGTATTCTGGGGACAGCTTTGTCCTGACTAAGGTAATTAGGACATCTGTGGTAAAAGAGAGTAAAGGAAATGAAAAGTTTGGGACTTGACTGTAGAAGAAAGAATAGTAATAAACTGGGGCACAGATCAATTCACCCTTTATTCCCATTTGCAAGACACTGAGCCTATTATCAATCACTATTTTTAGAGAAAGTAATGATTAAATGGATGGGAAACAGCAGAAAGCTCATGGTTTACAGAACAATTTGTCACAGAGGTTGTAACCAGAGCAACATATTGTATTCATTATAGATCATAAGAAAAATTATTCATTTCTTTTGACTTTGTTTTTGCTCTGCTGCAGCATTACTTTTATTTTTCAAGGTGACACAAATGGTATCTTGGTGAGCATTTTTAGAAAGAGTTCATCATTGATTAAAAATCGCAAATCTTCTAAATGATTCCAAATTATGCCATATTTCTTTAGCAAATTTTTGTGGGTATCAATCTGGCCTTTAAATATTTCTGGGAACATCAGCATCATGTGAGATCATTGTACCTCTGTAGTGTCTGTGAGCTTCTGACATTAGATGCTGTATTTGGGGGATAAGAGCATATTTTTAAAAAGAGAGGTCCTTAGTGTCATCAGATGTTTGAAAGGGTCTGGAACTGAAATAATATTAACAATAAGAAGAATCCCTGTTCCGGAGCCTTATACAATGATACGTCTTTACTCTGAATGTTCAAGTTTTTTATTACCACTTGAAACTGCGTGGTGGTCCAGTGTATTTTCTGTTGATCTCCCATAGTGCTCCAGATTCACAAGAATGGATGTTCATGCATGACCTTGTGTGGGAGAGTCCAATGAAATAAATACACATATTTAAAATATATATAGTGACTGGCAAGGATGAAAAAATTAAGCCATGTTTTCTTTTTATTTGTAAACTTTAAGCAAACACTCCATAATGATACTTTTCAGCCTTTGTAAGACAGGTAGATGTAACTGATAGCACAATTTTCCAATCATGTGAAACTCAGTGTAAATAAACAAATACCTAAGTGTGGCCATAATAATAGAGTAGCTCTCCGTTAGATTTAAAAGCACGTGATTAAATCTTTCATGGTGCCCCATGACTCGCAGAATAAATCCCAAATCCTTTCACTTAGCTTTGTGTTCTAACCCTAGTTTAAGCCTACAGGTTTATCTGTAACAGAGCTTCCTAGCCTCCCCACTGTTGACATTGGGGTCACGTAATTCTTCCTTGTGGGAGACATTTATGCATCATAGGATGTTTGGCATCATACCTGGCCTCCAGCCACTAAATGCCGATAGCGTCCCTGGACAGTCAGCTGTGGCAACCAGCAATGTTTCCAGACATTGACAGATGTCCCCCGGGGCCAGAATCTCCCTTGGTTAACAGTCACCAATGTACAGTCTTTTACTCCCTCAAACTTGACTTCCCCGCCATAATGAATTTTTTCAGTTTCGGAATGCTCACGGTTCTTTCTCCTCTGTGCTTGTGTACATCTGTAACCTTTATGTTTATAATGCTCTCCCACTTCTCTGTGTTGGCTGAACTCCATCATCTTTAGGGCTCAACTTAGAAGTCTGGGTGAGGTAGGTACAGCTTTCACCAGCATTTGCCCTTTCATAGAGTGACTTTGCTATCTGGAATAGGTGAATGTTTGCTTGTCTGTATGTCCTATTAAACCATAAGTTGCAAGATGTCAGGGATCATTACTGAGTTCCTCACTAGTGGGTCACCACTGCCTGGCACATATTTGATGCACAATAAAGAGTTGTTGATTGGGATTTCAAAATTGTAGAATAGATAAACAAGATTACACTGTATAGCACAGGGAAATATACACAAAATGTTATGATAACTCACAGAGAAAAAAATGTGACAATGAGTGTGTATATATCTATGAATGACTGAAAAACTGTGCTGAACACTGGAATTTGACACAACATTGTAAAATGATTATAAATCAATAAAAAATGTTAAAAAAAAGAGTTGTTGAATAAACTAACATTTTAACCAAAAAAGAAAAAAAGCCATTAGTCAATACTACTATAGTGCTACTTAAAACAAATACATTTTCTAGCATAGCTATTGAGCATTAAGATTTCAAAACATAACCTTGGAGAAAACCTGGTATAACACGTGTCAAACACAAATCACTGTTCCATTTTAATTCTTTCCATGCTTTTGACCTTTATAAATCTCCTTGGCTTAATTCATTTTATATTTAAAACCTATACTTTATCACAATTTGGCAGATTTTTGTTTGCTGTCTATTAGTACAGTAAAGGTCACATCATTAGATGAAGCCTGATGGCAGAAAAACACAGTAATTTGCCAATGGGAAACACATAGAAAGTGACTTCATTTTTTATGTTGTCCTACGACTTTTACCTTGGGGTTGACTTTAAATGTTATTACTCAAAATTGAAAATTATGTCAGAAGTGAATTCTGGAAAGTACACAAAAGAGAAAAATCACTTAGAAGTCCGTATCTCAAAGCCTGGTTGTTTTACACAATTAAATCTTAGAAAGGTGCTTAAACTACTTTGGCTGACAAGGGATTTAAAAGGCTTTGTAATAACAGCTACTTAAAGTGGGTACCAAACCCTAAGCTGTGTGTTCCACTTTGTTTCTTATCACTAACATCTTTTCTAGTGATAGAGGAAAATGCCAGACAGATCGTTATTTGATGTGTACCAAATTGGATACAAACCACAGTCCATTCTTGGTAGTGGTGTGTGGGATGCAGGGCGATGCCCACAATGTTTAGTATAATTATCTAGGCACTGTTTCGCATTTCAAGGACTTCACTAAAACCCAAAGCAAGGTAACCTGCCCCAGTGATTGACCGAGTATCTGCTTTGTGCGAGCACTAGAGAAAGTAACAAGAGATAAGCGATACAGGGCACTTGCTTGCAGAAACTACCAGTCTGGTAAGGGAGGAAAGATCTGTACACAGAGGACTAAACTCTAGCAAAGAAAGCCCCATGTGTTAAGGATAAACAGAATACTGTATGAATTTGACAACAAGAGAGAGAGCATTATTGTGTGTATGAGTGTTTATGTCTGTGTCTCTATGTGTCTATAATGGGGTTGTCTCAGAAAGCAGGGTGTTCTAAATAGATTAAATAACGTTTAAAGGAGCATTTACATAAGACATATTTTGGTAACAGTGGGCTGAGGATGTGTTTGGAGGTGAGAACTAAAATATTTGGTGCCTGACATGGTACTCACATTGGTTGACAGGAGCTACATCTCAACAATTTTTGTCTCTACCCTACTAGTATTGAAATGTCTGTCACTCACTAATTGGTGGTGGTGGTGGTGGTGGTGTCAGTGTGTGAGGAAAGGGAGGAAGAGAGGGGAGAGAGGGGGAAGGAGGGAAAGAAGAAAGGGAGGAAGGAAGGGAGATAGAAACAAGAGATGCTTATATCAGAATACTGTAACTTCAGCGATATGGAGTAAATCATCTGACAGCAGGCAATAGAAAAGACTGTGAGGAAAGAGGCATGAGATCAGATACCAGCTGAAACTACCAAGATAAGAGAAAATAAGACCCTAACTCTGGATGACCATGGGGATGAAAAAGAAGAAATTGATGAAAAAAAAATGTATATGGAGGATTTCAGGAAGTGATAAATTACTGAATTAAGTGTTAGCAAGAAAGACTTGATAGCACTCTGAGGTTTCATGATGGGACAGCTCAGCAAGGTTAATAAATAGGGAAGCTGGTGGAGGGGGTTTATGGGAAACCTCTGCACTATAGTCTGAACTTTTCTATAAATCCAAAAATGTTCTATAAAATAAAGTCCACTCTAAACAGGGAGAGAGACTGTAGGTTGAGCAATCCACTTTGTAAAATGCTGCAGAGAAGGGATAGGTCCATGGGTTATACATTCATAAGTTAAATTCCAAGGAGACATTTCAGTGAATGTGGGGCAGGGAATTCAGTTTACGGAAAATGAAGTGGTGAGTGGGTGTTAAGGGCATGGAAGCAGTAAGAAGGATAATGTAGGAGGGAGGGTATAGTTCAGTGGTAGAGTGCATGTTTACCATGCACAAGGTCTTGGGTTCAATCCCCAATACAAAAATGTATAAAAAATAAAAATAAATAAGCCTAATTACCTCCCCCTAAATAAAGAAACATGCAAATAAGTAAATAGGATGATGGTGAAGATGGACTGTCCTGAAGAATCCAGGAGCTCAGATGGGAGCTCCATGAGCATGTGCAGGTGAAGGAAGAAACCAAGGAAAAGAGGGAGGCTGGAAGGGGAAGAGAAGGGGCGCATGATGAGTACGTGGTCACTTCCTCTGCTGTAACCAATTACCATGCACTTCGTGGCTTAAAATAACATGACTTTATTATCTTCATGTTCTGGAAGTCTGAATCAGTTCCAGTGGGCTGAAATCAAGCTGTCAGTCTATGTTCCTGCTAAAAGCTCTAAGTTAGAAAACATTTCCTTGCCTTTTGCAGCATCTAGAGGCCACCTACGTTCCTTGGCTTGCAGCCCCTTCCTCCAGCCTCAAAGCCAGCAGAGTAGAGAGAGAAAATTTGTCCTTTTTCCTTCTTCTGTTCTATTTGGGCTTCAATGAATTGGATGATGGCTACCTACAAAGGGGTGGGCAGACCTTTTCACTCAGTCTCTGATTCAAATGCTAACCTCTTCCAGGCCCACCCTCAAAAATAAACCCAGGAATATTGTTTTACCAGCAATGTGAGTGTCCTTAGCCCAGTCAAGTTGACACCTAAAATTAACCACCGTAGTCACCCTTTTCAGTTATGTGAAGGGTTCGCACAAAAGATGCTGATTGGGCATTTTCCATGTCCATGAAGTCACCTGTGAGAAGTAATAGGCCTCTTGTCAAGGAGATGAGACTGTAGGGCACTTAAGGGAGGACTTGGGTTCCAGGTGATGCTGAGAAACAACTGTGAACCCGCCTTCCCCAGAGAATCCTCCGTCGGAGAAGGCAGCCCTCTTTCTGCTAATTAGATGTTCATCCACCTGAGGAGTGTGAGCTGCTCTCTCAAGGACCCTTTTGCATAGAGTAATGGTTTGATGATCAAAGACCAAAATGCACTTTCAAAGTCATGCCCTTGTCACTAGTGTAGAAGCTAGTAAAATCGGGAAGAAGTAGAAACTTTGTCATCCAATTTTAAATGAAAGTAGATGACTGCTATGAAGTTGTAGTAAAAAGGTTTGAAATGCATCTACGAAACAAAGTTCACAGGAAAAAAGTGAGAAACCATCAACAATCAGAAATTTTCACTTATGTTATTCAATTTGCCTACATTTTCTAGCTTTAAAAGATTCCAATTAACTGGGTTGGTAAGCTTCGTTCTGTACCATATATTTCGGATACAAAGACATTTTAGTAAAATTACCACTATTAAATTCCTGCAACTACAATGGCTTCATTTAGCCTGACCTCCTGACACTGAAAGAACATATATTATAGTTTTTAAATTAAAAAGAAAAAAAGGAGCAAATTAAAGATTTTTTTAATCCTTCAATATGTATAGTACATTTTGAGAAATATGTGGATTCATTTGCCAATGAACTTTCTATCTACTACCAAATTAGTTATGAAGTATAATTACTAATGCTATATCCAACTCTACCAAAAAGCAAATTTTAGAATTTTCATATTATTAGCCCCTAAATATAATTAGCTTTAGATCTAAAATAACTGACAAGGAATACATATCATAGAACCTTTGACAAATTTTTTGTTTCATAATTAAAAGGGTTACCTCAAAACCCTCTTGAAATTCACAATGTAGAGCTTCAGACAAAAGAATTGAAGTAATACTCAGTCCTAACTTGAAAAGAGCTATGAGAGTACTCAATCTCACTGACTCAGTCCCTCCTCAGAATTCTTACCCCAGAAGATGATGAAAACATGTGACTTTTTCTAAACCAGATAGAGGTAGAAAACATATCACTTTTTCTAAATCATGCTTAGAAGGACCACAGTATGCCTAAGACAGAGGAGAATCTGTTTAGTTTTTCAAAGCTACCAGTTGACATGGTGATAAAACTATAACCACAAAATATTGATTACCTTCTCTACTTAAATGTATGCATTATTTTATCAAGTTCAAAGTATGTAGTTTTTTAAACAAAAGGTAGATGTATTCTTTTCTTACTTTGGCCTCCTGAAGGGGCTTATTCAAAGTTCTGCAGCCTTCTGGATATAATGAACACAGAAAGAGTGATGAAACATGGAGTGGGGGGAGAGTGGAAAAAATGAATAAAAGCTAAAAGTCAGAGAAAAGTTCTATATTGTGTTTATACAAAGGCAGTTTGATATGTGAAGAGAGTAATATATGTTAAGTGGCGTGTCATATTAATTAAAATTGAAGAAAAAGAAAAATAAGAAAATTGCTGTGAAAATCAATTTATTCACTTGAGGAGTGTAGAAATATAATTATAGACTGGATAAAGAAGATGTGGTGTATTTATACAATGGAAATACTATTCAGCCATAAAAACTGACAACATAATGCCATTTGCAGCAACATGGATGCTCCTGGAGAATGTCATTCTAAGTGAAGTAAGCCAGAAAGAGAAAGAAAAATACCATATGAGATCAGTCATATGTGGAATCTGAAAAAAAAAAACCCAAAACAAACATAAATACAGATCAGTAACAGACTCACAGACATAGAATACAAACTTTTGGTTGCCAAGGGGGACGTGGGTGGGAAGGGACAGATTGGGATTTCAGAATGTAGAATAGATAAACAAGATTATACTGTATAGCACAGGGAAATATATACAAGATCTCATGGTAGCTCACAGAGAAAAAAATGTGACAATGAATATATTTTTGTGTATAACAGAAAAATTGTGCTCTACACTGGAATTTGACACAACATTGTAAAGTGATTATAAATCAATAATAAAGTTTTAAAAAAAGGATTAAATAAAAACTATTAATTTCCATCAAAAAAGAAGTATAATTATATAAAACATATAAGTAGATATCTCCTTGTAAAAATATAAATCAAAGTTTTATTTAATATGTTATTTATAAAAATTAACTAGTCTTTAAAAAAAGTAAGCTAAGGCCAATAATTTGCAACTATTAAAATAGATTCCCCTAAATAATAGTTAACACAGAATGCACAGTATATGCTAGGAACTTTGTATATGTTTTATATTATATATGTTAATGTATTCACCCTCTAACATTTCTATGAGGTAGGTACTATTATTATCCCTAAGTTAAAGATGAAAAAACTGACACCATGAAAACTCAAGTTATTTGACAAAGATCACACAAGCCAGTGAGTGTTAGAGTTCAGATTCAAATTCTAGAAATTTTAGTGTTAGCTTTGTTTAGTTCATGTAATAAGTTAAGCATACTCTTTGTTCAAAACAAGCAAAACAAAAACCAAACAAACAAAAAAGCTACTCAGAAAGGAACAAACTGTCCAAAAGTGTATAAAATGAAACAATAAGAACACTTCTCCATCCTAGGCTCTGAAAGTAAACACCTTTGAGAGTTAAGTATATAGACTTGTATCTATGTGTACCCATAGCACTTTCCCAAAAATGGGATACATTTATACAATGTATATTGGTCTTTTTCTTAATATCTGATGTACATATTGTTTCTTTAAAACACATCTTTCTATGTATGATTACAAATAATGCAACAATTACTATTCTTATACACATAAATGTTTTTACATGTGTTGAATTTCACTGGAACAAATTCCTAGGAGCTGGATTCTTGGATCTAAGTGTGTGTGCTTTAGGAAATATTGACAGATAATGATAAATTATCCTCCAAAATGAGAGTTAATTAGTTAATTACCACCTTGAATGTAATGTTAAAATCAGATCATCCTTTAAAATCATTATTTAGAAAAAGTCCTTTGTTTGCACTCTCCAGTGTTTTCTTATATTAACAACCATGTACGATCTCTGCCCAACTCAGTGAACTGTATAATTAGTCCTACTCTTCTCAGTTTGGTTTTCTTAGTCCCCCCCCCCCCAGGTACACAAATCAGTCATTCACAGATAAAAAACTATTTGCCCACAAAATCTATTTTTCTCCCTTGTCTGATTTTGCAGTGGTTGTCACTACCAGAGTAGGTATAAATAATAGCACCCCTTCTTCTGGCTTACGTAGGAATGTCTGTCCTGCAACACATATGTTTGGTCTGAGTTTCTGCGAACATATTCTTTATCAACCAAAGCAAATTTATTTTTATGCCCAGCTTGCTGAGTATTTTTATTCACTTCAGGTGATGAATTTTAAATAAATCAGTATGAGAGTATAGCTTTTCTCTTATGTGATTTTCAGACTACCTCTGTTTTCAGCAGCCTTTTCCGCTTTGTGTTTCTTCTAATGCTGCTTTCCACAGTGATTTGATTAGCTCCCATTTCTTTAGTAAGTTCGCCCAGCATATTTTTATCTTCTTTGTCTTCTTATCACTTCTTGGATCTCTTTTTCCCATAGTATATAGTTTCTTCAACTAATATGACAATATAGTTTTGTACGTGTCTGAAGTTTTCTTTTGTTTTCTGGAATAATTCTTCTGTCATGTTTTCATTATCTACAAGTTACTTGTTATTTTTTTTTCCTTTCTGTCTTTTTTTCCTTTTGTAGTATCAAAGCAGAGATCCCAAGGTTATTTCTTTCTGCTTGTTCCTCATGTTCCTCTTCTTTAAAGGTGGACTGTTTTTCCTGGGCAACTCTGACTCAAGAACAAAATAACAGCAATTTAGGGGAGCAATTGTCATTAGCTTTAGTTTGGATTTCTTGTTTTTACATACTTTATCAGCAGATCACCTGTCTTCTGTCCTGGGGGCAACACCATTCCTCAGTTTCTAGCGTTCTTCAGTTTGGGGTTATCAGGAAGTTAGAGTGACTTCATGTGTCACAAATCCTTCAGTGATTCCGTGTTGCTTTATCTCCGCTCCGCTGACTTGATTACCACATGCAAAGGTCATCACTGCTTCTCTCCTCTCTCACTCACCTCCTTGCACTTTTAGGCACTTTTCCTGGGAAAGGCATCTGGTTTAGAGTAAATCTGGATGGCGAGCCCATCCAGGCGTTTCCTCCTCCATCCCTGCCCTCCCATTCTACTCTGCAGTGGCCTCCCCATAACCAGGCCTTCTCATTTTCTTATGGCCTTCCCATCCGTGAAAATCACCATTCATTTATGGGATCTTTTGGACTTCCTTCATTTACTTTCCAGGAAAATGCAGATCTATCCCAGCTAGTCTTAGTGTGAGATAGTTCCTTGATTCCACATTTACCTGGATATCATTTAAAGCTTGCCCTTTAAATCTGAGATGAAATTTGAGTATTAATGGTCTGTAGTATCTGTTCAGCCATGCAACTTCTGAGAGGAGTAACCTGGGTTATGCATATCCACAGTAAGCGATCTTAGATACTCTGTACTTTCTCTTTGAATGTGTTGAATCCCTTGATTTAAGGGTCAGCTCTGCTAGATTGGATACTATTTATAACTCCAGCTAAGGGAACCCCTGAAATCTGAGGGTTAGCAGGCCATTTTGGTAAGAAGATGGGTTAAAATGACAGCTGGCTGGTCTTCGATCTATGGGTAAACAGCAACTTTATTCTGTTTATTTGTCTGCACAGTTGTGCTCTAAACTTAAAACACTTGGAAGACCCCCAGATTACTTCTCAGGACTTACGTTCTCTGGGAGGTGAGACCCAGAAGAAAATACTAGTGTATGGTGGTCACACATTTTCTCCAGTCCTAATAGTACCTCTGATTCATGCCAAGGTAATGTGAGCCTAACATCTTTCCCACAACCACCAGCCCCACTGTAGCCTTTCCTGGTGTTTCCAATGTCCAGAATAAAGGTAAAATCCTCCACGTTTTAGAATGAATCAAAAACTGGTTATTGGCAAAGGAATAAGAATTAAACTGGTATCCATGATACTAAGTGCTTGGAGGTAATAGAGAAATGCCTACAAGTTTCTAAAAGTAAAGGACTGTGAACTTTCACAATTAAGGGTAAGAGTAGAATAAAAACATTTTCTGATACACAAGGACTCAAGAAATACTATCCATGAACCCTTTATAGACAAAATTTAAGAAAATTTACATCCAAGTGTTCCTCTTAGAAAACTACTAGAGAATTGGCTTGTGTAAAATTCGGCACAGTTCAGGAAAGAGGAAATAGTAGTTCCGACAAAATAGAGTAGGAAAAGAGTTCTAAAATGACAAAAGTGTGGAGGACTCTGGGGTGCTCAGTTAAGGTCTCCAGCAAAAGAGAGGGGAGAGAAGGGGAGGAGTGAGGAGGGGAGGGGAGGGAGATGATGGGCATTTTTTAAAAAAGTTTATGTATGTGTATTTCAATCTATTTTTTTATTTTTGCCATTCAAGAATTTTTCCCTGGCCCCTAGAGGTTAACTATCTCCTACAGCTGATTAGAATTTTTTAGAGAAATTCTGCAGAAAGAATAGAGTTGTACGTAACTCATGGCGTGCAAAATAGGACAATGCAGCAAGAAAATAATCTTGTAAACCCAGCTTCTCTCTTGCGGGAAAGTCCTCCATCGCTATACCAGTCACTTTCTTTTTTAAGCTTTTTTTTCCCCCACGGGGTCAGGGATGGGGGCAGGTCGAGGAGGTACTAGGGATTACTTTACTTATTTATTTATTTAATGGAGGTACTGGGGATTGAGCCCAAGATCTCGTGCATGCTAAGCATGCACTCTGCCGCTGAGCTATACCTTCCCCCAAAACTGTTCACCTTCACACGGCCAAGTGTCAGGTTTGGTTGCCTGAAATGTAGAGGTTTCTATGAGACAGGACTCCAGCAGGAGAGAGAGAAAGGTGAGACATATACAGAAAGGAGAGAGTGGTCGAGATGATTGTTCCCTTATTTCCCTCTCAAAGAGAAAAGAGGGTGTGTGAGAGATGTGGCAGCAACATCAAGAGCAGAGCTATCCTTCATCCTTGTGGAGAATCCTGGACAAGATTATACCCTGGGCTGTCCCCAGACCACTCCGGGCCATGAGTAGGACAGCGTGACCAGGAAGAGATAATACTGGTATGTTTGTTCAAGAAACTAAAGATTCCTGAAAGGGATTGTTAAATGTATTGACTCAAACTTAGCTTTAAATAAAAGTAGACATGTTACTAATTTCTTTCACTCACCCAGAAGGATGGCCTGATTGGTTATATTCAAAATAGTGAAACTATTATTCCCCCTGTATCAGAGTTACAATATTAAAGTTTTACAGCCTCCTTCTTGCTTTTTTTAGTTCTTTTAGTTTCCAGGATGGGCTCCCACATGTGATTTAAAAATATCAATTCCCTTCCCCTTCTCTTATCTCTGTTAATCTAATTTTTCTTTACCTTCCTCCTACACATGCTACATGATAAAATAAATGGGATCAGTGCCACTGTACCATTGTTTGAGTGAAAAGGAAATCTAAATTCTCCAAAGAGATGTGGTAAGCATTTAGGAAAAGTGTGAAATCTCAGCACCGACAAATATTCCATTCCCAGTCCTCTTTTCAGTCAGGAGGCAGTGTTTCTACCCACTAGCTCTGGCTCCAAAACAAAGGACAGTACTCTTCTTAAAGTCTGGTAAAACGGAGTTCAAGTGGAGCACAATAAGCAGTGATCTCATTATGTATATTGCACATGTGTAGAAAAGTACCAGATATTTCCATCTGTCCATCTTTATCTGCAGCAAATTGATTTCACAACTTTTCCGGATGTTAAATACCAAGCCCCATATAAAAATGTTTGCCAATCACTGCTAAGCCTGAAAATGTATCTTTCCAAACAATGAGGGAATGTGGAGTCTGAAAGTCCCAGAGAGGGGAAAAAAAAAATAACCCGTGGTAAGTGGAAGAGGGACTCCCACACCTCCGTTCATCAGATAGTCGGGGAACATCCATCTGCCATACACTCTGCTTTGTGCTCAGTGCGCATTCAACATTAAATGCACAATATACGTGGTTCCTGCCCTCAGGAGCTTCAGATCCAAGCAGGGGCTGCTGGGTGAGAAGAAGGGACTGGTGTACTGAGTGAAGGTGTAGGGCTGTCAGAGGGCTATCTGGCAACATTCATTAAAAAACAGAGCCAAGTTCCTCAGATCCATATTGGTTAGAGAACGAGGTGTTCCAATTCATTAAATCATCTGGTTATTCTATATGAGTAAACAATTTTCAGAGTCAGAACCTGAAACACTCACTTGACAGTGAACTAATGAGCAAAAGGCTTCACTGAGTTTCCAGGCATCATTTCAGGGGTCATGGTCATTCTGAACACCCGGTCTGCACTTGACACAGAGGCCTCTTGCCTTCCTCAGGACTGTGTTCCTGGTTCTCCCAGGACCTCTCTGTTCTTGGCTCTTAAGAAAGGATCTCTTCCCCTTCCTGTGCCTCACGTGGGCCCTGCAAGGCTTGGCTTTTCCCTACGCCTTTCTCTCCACACTCCCTCCGTGAACACTCACATGCCTCCGGGCTCCGGCTCTGCTCAGTCTTGGGCTGCCTGCCAAATCCGCATCTCTGCCTGACCTATCACCTTCATTCGGTTTCCCGTCTCCAGGCCCATCCTGGCTGCTTCTCCGCACAGCAATCTATACGTAGTCATCCCACTGTCACTTGCAGCTCAGCTCTTCCAGAAGTGAGCTCAGCCTCTCTGCATTCCTCACTGGCTTCCTTTCCAACTGTCTACAGTCCTGGCACCAACATGTCCTGTTTCTGAACAGAACCATCCTGGCCATCCTCCTGGGCCCCCAATTACTGGGGACTGGGAAGAAACTCAGAAGTCCACTTTCAGTTACCCTACATCCTTATCCTGTAAGTTTAACAATTACCTTTCAGTTTCTTTGTTTCCTCAACAGTAAAAACTGAGGCAGTGACAGCTGGCAGCAGGACCAGAAGGAGGATCTAAAAAGATAACGTATACAAAAGCAAGAACAAGGTGCTAGCCAGTGGCTCATAAAAGTTAAAATATTTTTCGCGTGGGAGGCCACTGTCATATACAAGCATGATAAAGAGGATCCGCAGCCTTAAAATACAGAGTGTGTTGTGCTGAACAGCAAATCAAACTTGGACAGCTCAGTGCCCAGGAAGGTGTGGATAGTATTTTATTTTTGGAGGAGTGAAATGTAGGTTTAAGAGAAAAACATAACCATCTCTTAGAAACTTTCAAGGAAGACGTACAGATATAGATGCACCTATTTTGCTGTATATCACATTTATGTGTGACTGTAAAAGCATATATCCACCTGCCAAAAATGCCCCCTTCCTGCTCTAGCTATTGTTCTCCTGTGATTTTATCAACTGTCAGCTATAGTTGTTCTAGGACTAAATCCCCAGGCACATACTACACAACCTGGAAAGTCCCCATTCATTGGGGGCCAGGCCTGGAGATGGGTACCATCTCCCTGGCCTCCCCCGCTGCACAAACGTGCAGCACAGACACTCTGTGAAAGGAACGAGATCCTCCACACCTTCACATATGCGAGCTCTGATTAGCTCATCACTTCTTCTGCCTGTGACTCCTGCCATCACCACACCCACCACACACTGTAGAAAACACAGGATATTCAAGTACTTATCACAAGCCAGATGTTTTGGGTCAGGGGTGGGAACCAGATTTAGCTCTCAACTGAATTTCGTCCAGCCTGTGGGGCAAAGTAGCAAGAAGTTGCAAAAATGGTTCCCGTTTGTATTCTCTTGCAGAAATGTGAGAGAGGCCACAAAAAGTATGTCTGTTTCTCTCTGGTCAGGATTTTCCCCTGTGGTTTTTGAAGCTGTTCTTATTTCCTTGCCTTTTTCTCTGATCCTGTTCTCAGCCTGTAGGTTTGTGTGTGTCGTGTGTCTGTGGTTTTCATCCTTTTGAGAGGGGCCGGAGGTACCACAGAGCTCTCACCTGGGAATAGTCTAGGAATGGGATAGGTTAGGACGTTTTGCATGGGTCTTTCTCATTTCCTGTTTTTACTGAAAAGGCATAGAGTGCTCTGATGTGTTAAACGCCACGTGTCCAGCACCTTTGTTTCTGAAACATCACAACCTCCAGGCTTCCCAGGCTGAGCACCTGCACCCTCGCCCACTCACCCCAACTCACGCCTTCCACCTGCAGTTTAATTTCTGTCCCCAGCACTATGCTGAAACTACTGTGTTGCGTTCTTTCTGATCTTTTAACTGACATCTCCAGGAGCCTCT